TTGGCTAATACTCTAACAATTGCATAACATCTTCTTTGTACCTTTATTAAGTTCGTTTATATTTGTTATCTACATGTTGTTCTGTCTTCTTCATTAGTATATGAGTTGCATAAAGGTGGGAACTGGAGCTAATTATTTACATACAGTGCCTAGCATATTACTGTCCAGGCATAGGGTGTACCAATAGCTAAATGTCTTCTCAACTGAATAGAATGTAGTAATGTGCATCAAAAAAGCACAAATTCCAAAAAGCAATCACTACAACCTTAGACTATCATAATAAGTCTTCTGATGGAGGGTTACAATTACTAGTTCTCTCTCCATTATGACTTTACCATTTATTTCTTTATTTAAAAATGATAACCTTCATGGTAGATAGCAGTTGAAATAAATATATGTGAAAACAATGAAGCTCTAACAAATTATTCAATTCAGAATTACATGAGTATAACATGGTCCGCCCTTTATGAAGTTCACAAAAGTTTATAGTTTATTCAGTCCCACCAGAATTTAACATTTTCATGAAAAAAACAGCAACAGAGATGACAATCTTTTCTGTTGTGCTAAGCAGTGAAAGCCATTAACAATTAAAAATATAGCTCCTGGCATCAAGGAGTTTAAAATCTAGTCATTCTGATTCTTTTAAATTTAACTAAATTTATTGGGGGGGGTGCATTGTTGGTAATAACATTATATAAGTTTCAGGTGTACAACTCAGCAATCCCTCTGCTGGGTATCTATCTGAAAAATTTGAAAACACTTATCTGTAAAGATATATGTACTGCTATGGTCATAATCATTCTGATTTTTATAATGCATCTTTTACTAAGCAGAATTATCTATGTTTTTATAAGTATGTGTCCATGTTTAAAAAAAGTAACAGACTTTTTAAAAAGAATGATAGAAATAATTGAGTCTGCTGCGACTCTTCCTCATTAAAGAATAGAGCAATAATTGCTTTCTCTCTAGAACCCAAGAATGAAAAAAATATTACTACAACACAACAGATTAAAGATGCCACAGTCAGAAAGATAAAATATTTGACGATTTTCAACAGGTTAGATTGTTATATGGGCAGTTCACAGTAAATAATCTACTTATCACCTACTCACCTACAAATAATAAAAACAAAATTCAAAACACCCAACAACTGGTCTGACTTTTTTTTTTAGTTGTTTGCTCTCTACAAAGAAACAAAAAAATCTGTGGCAAGGTACAACGTACCTACAAACAACACAGGCCAAGCCCATCTCCATGGCAAAGTCATCGGCACTGGTCTCCTCAAAGCTGGAAAGGTCAGACATAGCCAAATCCTTGCTGCTTTGGACAGTAATGGGAGAGGACCGTGTCTCTGGTTTCTCCAACCTAGGTTTCTTTGGTGTATCCACTCCTTCAGTGATGTCTGATTTTGTCTATAAAAAGCACCAATCAGAAAGAACATGTTATAATAAACTTTATATCACCAAGAGATAAGATGGACAGTGTGCGATGATGAAGTTCACTTCACAGATATTTTCACATAGCTGGGGATACACAGACACAGTAAAGATCTGTGGAAGATTTATAATGAATCCATAATCAGTGTGTTAAAAGGAACCAGCAAGGCAGAACTACATAAATCAGAGCAGTTCAGCATGTATCTGCATTTCTCTTTGTGCTCGTTTATCCATTAAAGAATTCTGGAAGTCCAATAGATTTACTTATAGGCCACTTTTTTTCTCCTGTCAGATGCTTTGAATTGAAAAGCCACAGCACTAATAAGGCTATTTTTAAAGGCTATTTTTTATTTTAAATATTTTAAATTATGAACTACTGATATTTAAATATATTGAAAACAAGTAAATAATGAACTATCTACCAGTCATCCAGACTTAACACATTGCCATTATTTGCTTCAAAGCAAATTCTGTCTCGTCTTTAAGATATATCACAGATATACCTTTCAGATTGGCAATAATTAAATAGTCTTAGAAGACACAAAGAATTAGGAATTCTTATACTTTATTGGTGAAAATATAAATTTAGTACATCCACTTTGGATAGTAATTTGCCTAGAAATGTTGAAAATATACCTATCCTATTACATCCACTTATAGGTATACATCCACTTACAGGTATACATCCTATTGAAATTACCACCATGCGTGTGAAGAGATAAGTATAAAGCAGTTTATTGAAGCTGCATTATAATAAAGAAAAAGGAGAGATAAGCTAACTGCTCATTGGTTGGGGACTGGATAATCTGGTTTATTCACAGGATGAATATTATATGGTAGCTGAAAGAAATATTCAGATCTATGTGCATCAACATGGGTAAATTTCAAAAGCACATTGCTGAGTGGAGAAAAAGTTATTAAAGAATGGAGATATATATATATAAACAAATACTCGCACATACACATTTATACATACACTATGATACCATTTATATAAATTTAAAAGCACAGAAAACAATACAATACAGTTTATGAATAGCCAATTTTACAAAAGACATGAAAACATATGGAACTTATATACCCCGCCTTGAGGGTAGGAGTTATTAAAGACTTTTAAAAATAGTCATTACTAAGTGCTAAAAATCTAAAAAATTAACTATGTGCTGAAATCATTCAAAATAGACAATTTAAGAATTACTGGTAGCCCTTTAAGGTATGAGCCATTCTGTAACAAATTTCACGTTTAGTCATTTACACCCTTATTCTTTATTTTTCCTTTATTCTTTATTCTTTCCTCTCTCTCATTTCTTTTCAACAACTGTTCCATCTGGAATATTTGAGTTACAGATTAAAGTTTATACTTGAAATCAGTACATCCCCTAGGGCTCAAATATTTGTTGACAATGACTTCGGTAAATGGTTAAAGAAATGTTTCTAAATTTTATCATTTTTCAAAAAATCAACATCTACAATTACCAAAATATATTTACCAAATGACTATTATGTACTTTTTACCCACTATTATATCAAAGAAGTGAGCACAAAACACTTTCTGCCTATAAAGGGCTGATTTATCTAACGTTTTTACTAGGTCAAAATAAACTCTTACTTTATCGGCAGGTCTCTTCTCAGCTTCCTTCTTTACCTTTTCAGTTGTGAGAACCTTGCCATTATTATTGCCAGAAGGAAGGCTGGATGATGTTTTGGGATCTTGCTTAACAGCAACAGTTTTTGTGCTCGCAATTTTGGGTGGCTCCACATCCTAAAAGGTGAAAGAACAGGATAACGCATAATTAAATATTCAGACTATTTAATACATCATAAAAAATTGATCATAAATCTAAACAATTTTCAGTTAAAAATTAAGATATGTTGTGACCAGTATAATGTCCTTTTCTTTAAACAGCTTTATTGAGAAATAATTAATATACTGCACCTATTTAAAGAGTAAAATTTGGTAAGTTTCACCATATCGTTTCGCACCTGTGAAAGCACCACTATAATCAATATCATTATTCCCCGGCGTTTCCTTGTGGACCTTTGTAAGCACTCTTCGAGGCATATACATCCTAGAGAAACTATGCCCTCTCGTCGTCAGACAACCACTCATCTGCTTTCTGTAACTATGGATTAGTTTGCATTTTCTGAAATTTGTATTAGTGAAATCATACAGTATGTACCGGTTTTTGTCTGGCTTCTTTCACTCAGCATATTTATTCTGAGATTCATCTATGTTGTTGAGTGTATCAACAATTCATTCCTTACATTGCTGAATAGCATAGTCCATTGTAGTGTAGTCCTGTCATCCAAAATTTGTTTATCCATTTACCTATTGATGGACATTTGTGTTGCAAGCCATTTGGGGCTATTACAAATAAAGCTATTATGAACATTCATGTGCAAGTCTTTGTGCGGACACATGCTTTCATTTCTGTAGCATAAATGTCTCGGAGTGGGATGGCTGAATCATGTGGTAGGTGTATGTTAACTTTTTAGGCAACTGCCAAACCATGTTCCCAATTGGTACACCATTTTACACTTCTCCAGGGATACATGAGAGTCCCAGTTCCTTCACATCCTCACCAACACTTGGTATGACTAATCTTCTTAATTTTAGACATTCTAATAGGTATTTACTAGAACGTACATTATTGTAAATTTAATCTACATTTTCCTAATGACTAATGATGTTGAGCATTTTTTTAAGTGCTTGCAATACATGTACATACTTGTATATCTTATTTTGGTAAAGTGTTAAAATTTTTTGCCCATTTTAAAAAATGGGGTTGTTTATTTTATTACTGAGTCTAAGGAGTTCTTCATAGACTCTGGATACAAGTCCTTTATCAGATACACGATTTGCAAATATTCTCTCAGTCAGTGGCCTGTCTTTTCATTCTGTTGTAAACTTCTAATCCTTGTTCTTATATTAAAGCTTTGCTGATATATAAACTTGTTATCTAATGTTATTAACAGCATAAAAAGTTTATGCATATAGTAGCTCCTTGGAATTGCCTCCCCACCAAAGGACAGTATTTCCTTACTACATATTCTAAATAAAACATTTGAGTGTGAGCTATTTATTCTATAATACATAAAAGTCTAAAAATATAAATGGGAATGCTACAAATCATCTTCAGAATAGAGGTAAGTCTGAGGAGGAAGACAAAGGGAAGGGATGAGAAATGGGCTTTAGACCTAACTGGTAGTAGGGCTGATTTGCTGTTGTGATCTTTGTCTAGCCTGGGGGTTGGCGAACTGAGGCCTGTAGGCCAAATGTGGCCTACTGCCTGTTTTATAAATAAAGTTATATTAGAACACAGCAATACTCACTCATTTATGTATTATCTATGGCTGCCTTCATGCTATCATGGCAGAATTAGATAATTGTGACAAAGATCATTTGGCCCACAAAACCTAAAATATTTATTATTTGACTCTTTTCAGAAAGTTTGGTGACTATTCATGTAGCCTTATGAAAGTGACGGAGAAAATGTTAATAATGCAGATTAAACTTAAAAGTGTATTGTGTCAACAACACAAAAAAATTGAGGACAATCTTGCAGTATTTGAAAACTATGAACTAATTCAGCAAAGAAGTTGTTCAAGGCATCTATGGATGAGTTAAGTTCTAACTTCGTTATTTCACATTTGACTTACTAACTGATGTAAATGAAAATATCAACCAATTTTTATGTTGAAACCACACTTGAACAGCCAGCTGCTGGCATTTATAAGTACACCACTGCCTCTGGGTGGCTTTCGTGCATGCTAAAGTTAAAAAAACACAGCTATAAATTATTCTCACACCATTCTAAAGACAGAAATGTTCAGCTGAAGGCTAAAATTAAATGAACCTGTGCTTTTAAAATACCCCCCCGAGTATTTTCTTTAAAAGACTGAGAAGTAACTTCCAGTTAGAAACCTAAGGGCAGCAGGTATTTTAATCACAACAAATTTTTCGTGATGAACTTCTTTTTGTTTTAGAATCTCAAAATATTGCTTTTTTAGTAAAAATAGGTTTTTCCCAGTTGGACAATACCAATACTTAGAACAGAACGAACCTGGTTGTGTGTTTTGTAGAGTTATATTAATTTGGTTTCTTTGAACTCATTGAACCTAGCATAATGAGAATGGTAGAAAAAATGAGGTCTCAATGGCTCTACTATTCAAAAGACAACAAAAAGTATTGAGAATACTAGAGCTAATGTTAAAAGAAGGCTGAGGGAGCAAAATGCTACTGTTTACTTGGGTGCTGAGTCTGACACTTAGCCCTGTCTTCAGGTTGAAGGTCTGGATCAGACTGAGCTGGTCACACATACAGTATTGTCCTTCCCTTTTCAGTTTGGTATCTAAGTCCACAGGCCTAAGTGACTTGAAGTTTCAGGGCTAGAGCTTAAGAAAGGTTTGAAAGAATGTCTTAGAAGGTATTCGTGAATGTAATAAGAGCTGTCATTCACTAAGAGCCTACTGTGTACCGGGTAGATACTATACTAGGTGACTTATACACTATCTCTCTTCATTTTCACAACTTGGCAAGGTAGTTCTTATTATCCCCATTTTATGAATAAAGAAACAGAATCTGGGTGAAAACAAGCTGCTATGCTCCTCAGTTTCCTTATTGCAAAATGAAGTAAATAAATAAGGCCCATCTGAAAAGACTGTCATCACAACTAAAATTCATTATACACACGCACCACTCAGAAAAGTACCTGAGACACAGTAAAATTTCAGGATATGTTATCTATTACCATACGGCTAGTAAGAGGTAAGCAGGAATTTAAAACAGGCGAGTCTGGTTCCAAAATGTCTCCTCTCTTCACATAAAGCTGCTTGGTCACTTTGTTGTCATCAGAACTGGAGCTTCCCGTACTTCCCTTTTCTCTTAAATTATCCTATACATATTCAATTCACTTCATTGCAAAGTCTTTGTCCTTCTACATCATGATTATTTTTACCCCTAAAGCATTAGAAAGTAATTACAGTAATGGTTTCCATTCAGCAGCTTTGAAAAACGTTCTGATCACAAAGAATTTGAAATTAAAATATATCGTAGTAAACAAGTGGGATTTTATATAAAGTAGTAGAACAGAATATCTCCCACACTCAGTTGACTATGTGGTATAACAGTTCTCTAAAAGCTTGAAGGAAGAAAATTAAAGAATATAGTTTCTTCACGCCACAGGAAAGATTGTTTTGGCAGAGAGATTGTTTGGAGATGATCTAAATGTTAACACTATTACTACAGGTCTTAACAAAATTCCCTCTAAGCTTTTTACCCATGTAGGTACCTTTTGAGATGGACGGTAACTTGAATCAATTCCCCGAGCCAAAGATTCATCAAGTAATGCTTTTAGCTTTTCAGCAGAATCCTTACTCTTTGAATGTAAGAAGCCTAGAGCTTTCAAAAAAATGGGATCAAGTTCCAAGTTCACAGTAGCAGCCATTGCAAGCACCTGAAGGAAAAAAAAAGGGCAGAGACAATGAGCAAAGTTTACCTATGCTTTGTTTATAACAAGTAGTGCTGTGCACATGATACAAAATTCAAAATATCCAAGTGGTTGTTACAGATAAATTTCCTTCTCATTCTTGACAGGCATTATCTACAATAGTTCTCTTCCCCTGAAGCAAGAGTGTTATCAGTTTTTTATATAGCCAATTCCAAATTTTAAGTCCAGAGAAGTTCCTCCCTACCACACAGCCCCCTCCTAATTCCATTTTAAAATATACACGCACAGTTTAGAGCACACAAACTTGATGTGTTTAGGTCAAGTTTACTATATATCAAAATGTCTTCTCTCAACCTATTTCCATGGCAGAAAAAATAAAAAAAGATTTAGTGTGGGCGATAGGGTATCACAGGAGGGCAGTGGTTAGAGGACTCATTAAGTGATGAGCTATATAAAGATTACTGCTGCAGCCTTTACCTCAGCTCTTTTTCTTTCTCCTCAGTCCTCATCCCCAATCTTGAATGCCTCAGAAAACATCCTAATGCTAATCTTATTGGAACACATTTAGATTGTGGTATCTCATGCCTTAACCTATTATTAAAAAGCAAGGTCTCTGAGGGATGGTGCCATATCTACTTCAAAAATAAAAAAATACACACACGCACACCCCAGAGTGCCAAAAAAATCTATACACATTTTATTTTTTAGCTGAGCCATCCTGCCACCTTTTGGCAGCTCAGCTCGGCCCCGGGCATTGAACCTCTGTTGCTCAGAGCTCAAACTCTTGAGTGAGCTCTTAACCAACTGAGCCACTCGGCCGGCCCTAACACATTTTAAAAGATGTTATCACTTTGGTCNTTTTTTTCTTATTTTATAACTAGGTACTTTACTAAGTTCTCTTACAAACTGTAATCATTTTTCAGTTTATTCTTTAGTGCTTTTCAGGTACCTATTCATAACTATATAAACAGTATAGTGGAATATTTGAGAGCACAGTTTTTGGAGTCAAACAGAACTTAGATTAAAACTCAGCTCAACCACTTCTCTAGCTATGTTATCTCAGTCAAATAGAGTGTAAATCTCTAAAAGACTCATTCTCTTCATCTGCAAAATGGGGGTAATACCATCTGTTTCAAATGTGGGTTATGAGGATGAATTACAATTATGTAAGAGTTCAGCAGTGTCTGGGATATGTTGAGTGCTGACATAACACGATTTATTCATCATCATTATTGACAAAGAATAAGAAAGGGGATGTGGAAGAAGCCATCCATACTGAATGCGGGAAAGACTCGTGGCCATTCCACTGTCTTTGACAATCTAATAAGGCCATTCAGAACTATATCAAAAAAAATTTATTAATAATCCATTCTCATTTCTGGAAGTTTCATTACAGACTGTTTTATTCTTGTTTGGACCTTCTTGTGGAATCTTCTTGTGCTATAGTTTGCCGTATTATATATAATTTTGGTTCTTAAGTCTCAATTCATCCCATTTTTTTATATTACATATTTGCCACATGAAAGCACACCTCCTTTCAAACATCATTTATAAAACAACACTCAGATCAAGGATATTATTAAAAATGTTGGAAGATCATCTGTGGTAAAATAGCAAGAAAGGAGGGCCATCTTACTCTCTACTGCAAAACCACGTTTTGAGGATGCAGGTCGTAGAGTAAATGAAAAGTACATGGTTCCGTAACCATGGCTTTCCATCTTACAAATCCCTCCATCCACATCTACTATTCCAGAGGTTAGTCTCTGTGAAGACCACCTAATTGGTATGCTTTAGCAGATGAAGATTCATTACAATGGCGCCCAGAAAGGACTCTGCCTGTTTAGATCTTTTACTTCCTGTTTCACCTAGCCATCTTAGAAGTTGAGTAAGAAATACCCAGAACCCTTTGTCCTTCGTTGGTAATACTAGTTTAGGGAACTAGAATATTATCACTGACTCGGTGTTGTTCAATAAAGGCACTATAATTTTTTATTGGGTGACTATCTCACCCACTACAGAATGTATGAAATTCCCCACTCACAGCAGTATTGCCAGTAAGGGAGCAATCCTAGACACCGCATATTTCTAAATGCTGCTGAATAGGTGTCTCTTATCACCTTAGATTGAGAACCACTGCAATAAGCCATAGAGTCTCTTACCTAAGCTAGGGTATAAAAGCCATTACCCGACAGAGAGAAAATTATAGAACTGAAGAATGACCTTGGACCTTGACACACACTATCACAACATTCTTATCTAGGTCTTCCTATAGACAAGCAATAGACAAGAAACGAGGGAGTTATAGAATAGGGTAATATGAACAAAATGAACAGATATAAAGGTATAAAGGATGTATTCTAGTTCAGGCAAATGGGGGAAAAACTGAGTGGAGAAGATAACAATTTTAATTTTAAAGATGTTGAACTTAAAGTAATGTAGGATATCTGGCCAAAATTCACTCCAGAAAGAGAGTTAGAGCTATAAATATAGATTTGGTGTAAACTAAGTCACAAAAATGGGGGAGGAAAGACTTAGGCGAGAACAGTGCTTACTTTATTACGAGATTTGTAATGAAATAATAATAATAAAACATTGAAAATACACTGAAGAAAGACAGATTACTGTCACAGATTACTTGTTTTGACTATTACCGATCTTAGTGACTACTGTCAACGCCCTGGAATGCACTATACCGCTCACCCATAACCATTTTGGTTGAGGTCCTCAAGGGCTATTAGTTTACATAATAAACTAAATAAAAATCAGGCTGAGCAGAAAAAGTTGTACCTTGTCAGTCAGAGAAATCTCCAGTTAAACACAGAAAGTATATGTACTACTGAATTTTTACTACTTTTCACAGGAATAAAAACATTTCTTACTTCTGATTTAACAAACTAAAAAGTAAAGTAGATACCTTGATTTTTTTTACTTTTAATTAAGTACTTGTGACTTTAAAAAGATACATTTGGTCAGGAAAATTTATGTGGACATTCATGTGATTAGCAGGCATGAGAACTCTTCTATGAGGAGTCCCTACCTAAGGCAGGGGAGCAAAGACGGGAATCAGACAAGTCACTAAAGTAACAACTTGATTTCTTCAAAAGGAAAATGATGAAGTAAATTATCTACTTTTTAAATGAATAAAAAGTAGAAAATCACCCAGTACGACAAAGGAAAACATGTTTCAGTATGAGAGTGAAGGCAGTTGTGTGTGTGAGCAGTAAACAGAACAAGTACACTGGGCAAATGGAAAATGGTCACTCGAAGACAATGAGGAGGAAGGACTGAGGCACAGGGAGAAGGACAGAGATGCACGTACACGTACTGCCTTTGCACAGCTAAAGTTGGTGGGTTAAGCTTACTCGGCGATAGGCATTTTCAGTATTTCCTTACCAGACTCACCAAAGACTGGGACTTGGTATCTCACCACTTCCACAGTGCATTACAGTATTTTTAAATGTTCAGAAATATACTGACATACTAGTAAGAAATACTCATATTTTGTGGGTCTCCAATCCTTTTTTTTTTTTTAAATATCAGAATAAGCTAAAAGCTGAACAGAGAAAAATGCATATAACATGGTCTGGTCTTTAGGCACAGACACATAAATCTCACATATACACTATATTCACAAACATTTAAATAATAAACTTACACAATTTTTTGCAGTAACTTAACAGCTCAAATTTTCATTTTGAAAAGCACTGATCAATCAAAATATCGACAGAGACTGTTTAAAACACAGAAAAATGATTCCTACCATTCTTTTCATTTGCCTGGTACATCGGGCACAATACCACACAAGGCGAGGGTCATTCACCTCCTTGTCTGTCACCTGGGGCTTATGGCAATCTTGATGGTAGAGATTATGGCACTCTTGACATTCTACTAATTGGTTACCAGATGCCACTGTCATTTGCCTAAGAAAATATACCATTAAACATTGCATTTATATGAACGCATGCAACAATTTAAAGCCATTTTAGGGTTGATCTGATAAAGTCTAATACATTAAAGAGGGTAAAAACCCCAGAAAACCAAAACAACAAAATAACAAACCCCAATATGTAGCCTGTACAAACACTTCATTTCTTTTAAATCTTATGCACCATTAATAAATATATACGCTACCTTTG